GATAGATGTCGTCACATGACCGCCTGGACCAACCCACGGGCTAAAAGGGAAAACTATGTGTTTGCACAAAGCACCAACAGTTTCATCCCTCCCCTGCTCTCCTCTCCCCGCGTGTGCAGGGCTGGATTGCAGCCTCGTGGAGATGAATCTGATCAATCAGATCAATCAGCAGAGATAACTGTAATCCCGCAGGTCAGTGGGAGGCCACCGGGCCACGCAGAGTTCACTCTCTCTCACACACACACAAGCTCCCAGACAAATCTGTGCAGGAATGGCACACATCTGAGCCACGTGTGTAGATTTCAGATTCTGTCTTGGTTTGGTTTAAAGTGCCCACAATGTTACAGGTTATATGCAGGTTGGTTGAAAATAAATCCCTGCGTGGGACTGTTTTCAATTAGAAAGTGCAAAGATAGAAAGCAAGAAGTTGTGCAAAGGTCTGCAGAGCCGGTGCGCTTTCAGGAGTTAATGGATTGGTTTTGGACGCTGGATGCTTCGGGATTTTTATTTTATTTTTTATTTAGTTGTTATTATTAGAAAAATCCGGAGAAAAGGGCACATTAAAATATGTGATGTGAAGAGCAGGCTATAGAAAGAAGACATGAAAGCAAATTTAATTAAAATGGAAGTGAATCCGAGACCATCAGACCGTTTTAATAAATGAACTGCGCCAGAGGGTTTGTATTGTATGTTAAGAATTATTTTTTCATTTAGTGGGCGGGTAGAAAATGATGTTTCTAGAGTAAAGACTAAATAATTAAACGACCAAACAGATCAAGATATGGGGGGGAAATAAAACTGTAAAAGAGCGCGCATGATGTCTAGCAGGTAAATATAATTTATTTAAAGGCTCCAAAGCTTAATTTAATTTAACTTCCATGAATGCTCCAAAAACTGAGAAATTGAGAAAAAAAAATCGGGAAAGTTCTCAGACAGATTAAATATGTACATTCTTGAGATTAAAGTAAAAGTTTCCTTTTTTTCAGATTCAGAGCTTTTAACTATCCTTTTTTTTTTTTTTTTTTTAAATAAACCTTTTCATAAACTAAGGCTGATTTATTTTACAGTTAGGCCTATACACCGATACAATCTTTAAGATGCGATTTGTTTTGGTTTTGCTGCAAACTAAGTTTTTGCATGCAGGATTAAAAAAGTCCTTCACATCGACGGTTTTTAAACGTTGTTTTTCTCCATGAGACTTAAACTCAAATTTCGTTTTTATATATTGGGATTACTTCTTCAGGGAAATTCTGGTTCCAAAACCAGGGCTGCGTTACACACCTACAGAAAAATGCGGGTTATTAAAAAAAATAAAAGCAAACAAAACAGCTTTCTACTAAACCTCTATAGATTAAACCAAAGTCGATGCTGAACAAAAGGCCATACTGGGTCATGAGATCTACAACTGCTTCCTAATGAAGCAACTAATATTGTTCTTCAAATAAACATTACCTAAACAAATGTATGTATGTATATATATATATATATATATATATATATATATATATATATATATATATATATATATATATATATATATATATATATATATATATATATATATATATATATATATATATTAAGACTGTATTATCGCGTTTGCAGTAACTTTTAGTGCAAGTAGTTTATTTAGTTTTTACCTTGTTGCGGCTTAAAAAAATAAAATACATCAAATAAAGTTTACATTTTTCCCAGAGAGTTTAGGACACTAATATCACCTTCTTTTTCTAATTATCTTTATACTAAACCAGTTTTACCTTTTTTATATTTTATATATCATATTTTTTGGAAAGGGAGAATGAAATAAGTCATCTTAACCCCCTCTGCAACTGTAGGTTTATTTTTTTAACACTTTTTATTTAGTCAACTTTATATCCCATCATATAATTTGAGGGCCAACAGATCATAAAGAGGTTATGTCAAAGCTTCTCTATAATGATTTTGTTACGGAACATTTAAAGCTTTAATAAATGACTTCTATTCTCTAGAGCCAACAGGTGATAAGGTTTTATTCCTATTAAACTATACTATACTAAAACTTTTCTTTTAATATTTTGAAATAGGAATCTAAACGCTGATAATGTTGGGAAAAAATATTGAAGTGCAAACTAACATTTAAATGTGAAAAATCTGAATTTCTTTCAGATTGATGAACTTGAACATTCTTGTGTGGATGTGCGTCAATGTTAACAAAAGCCTATTTTAAATGTTTTATAAATATTGTGTTAAAATATTCAGATAAAACAAAATAAATCTTTTAATTTCTCATCAGATGAATAGTATTTTTTATTCTCTGCAATCTAAAACAAAATGAGAAACTTTATAGCAAAATAACATGAGCGGGTTCAATGTGGGTGTTTATCAGCTTACACTGCCACCTGGCGGCCAGTCAAAGAAACGACACAGAGACGCGCCTCAAACACTCGTTTATTCTGCACACGTTAAAGCACTACAGTCATTGAAAAACTATGCTATAAAGATGCTTGCTTTTACACTAACACATAACATTGACCTATCACGTTTCAGAAAACATCAGTTTAAATCTAAGCTTGTGCTAAAATAAACAGAGGAGACCTTGGATTGTTTGTTTAAACTTAAGGCTTAAAGGAATAGTACACCCAAAGCATGATTAGCCTTCATTTTCTACTCACCCCCATGCTGAACAACACTCTGGAGTACTTTTTTGATATCTCAAATGCATCTGGAGATCTGGGAGGCTTCTCGCTGTCTGCTGACATTCAAATAATGGAGGTCTATGGCGCCCGAGGCAGAAAGGTCCATAAAAGTCCACAAAAAACGTGTCAATATTCCTCCATAGTGCTCGTCCAATGTATTCCAAGTGTCCTGAGTGGGTAGCTTCCATAAGTTACTCGAAACGAAGTCATTTAGAATGTTTTTAGAGCATAAACAGTAGTGTATAGGATTTCCTAAAAGCGCGCTCACGAGTCTACGGAAAACGCGGCAGGCCAAACCAGATGAAAGTGCGCATTCAGCGTCTGCTCTGCCGATAATGCAAGCGTAGAAGAAGAAATGTGCCGTTTACCTGTGCAAAGAAAGAAACAACGAAAGAAAAATGTCTGAGGACTTCAGTGTTGAGGAAAGGCATGAGTTCTTTGCCGAGCTGAATGCGCACTTTCGTCTGGTTTGGTCTGCCGCGGTTTCCGTAGACTTGTGAACGCGCTTTTAGGAAATCCTATACACTACTGTTTATGCTCTAAAAACATCCTAAATGACTTTGTTTCGAGTAAATTATGGACGCTACCCACTCAGGACACTTGGAATACATTGGACGAGCAGTATGGAGGAATATTGACACGTTTTTTGTGGACTTTTATGGACCTTTCTGTCTCGGGCACCATAGACCTCCATTATTTGAATGTCAGCAGACAGCAAGAAGCCTCCCAGATCTCCAGATGCATTTGAGATATCAAAAAAGTACTCCAGAGTGTTGTTCAGCATGGGGGTGAGTAGAAAATGAAGGCTAATCATGTTTTGGGTGTACTATTCCTTTAACTACATTGAGAAAAACAAAAACAAGAATCATGTCAAAGCAGGGGGGAAAGGGTCTAAATTAGCGCTTTGATCATGGCACCGATGCGAGGGATCAAAGACAGACAGGTGGAAAAGTTTTACAGGCAGAGCTCTGGACTATGAAGGCAAAAATATTTAAATTGATCAGTTTCTTTTAAATTCGAATTTCTTTATTCACCAGTGCAATTCAAAGGTGTTTCTGTCTGATAGTTAAAGAGGGTAGCTAACAAGAAGTGATAAAACAAAGGGAGACCTGAAGGTGGAATTGAAAAGGCACTTTTGTCACATGAGTGTTTCCAAAGGCTTTGTAAATTTCCCGGTCTTTTTGAAATGGGGCATATATAATCTGAGACATAGCCTTTAAAGTTACAAATCTTGAAAGATAGAGACACAAACCCAAATTAGCCTTTTTATTGTGTTTTTAAAGTGGATAAAGAACACATTCTTGACTCTAAAGCAGGCTTACAAAAACAGGAAGGCACTCCCATATAAGGATGACATATTTTTAACAGTGCTACCTGGACGTTTCTCACAGTAATAAAACTGATAAGGACTTTTTTTAAAAACAAAAATGTGGGGAGGATATGTAGTGATGAAAATGAAAAAAATCTTGATTCAAATATGATGAAAGGAGGAAATGTGCGCTCAAGGGAAGTAAACTAAAGGTATGGAAGAAGGAAAAACAGCCTCGATGGTGGAACCACTTTGTATGAAACAACTGATATCTTGGGATTTAGAGGAAGGAACAACTCAAATATAAGGGATCATATCCCATCTACAACTCCTAGCTCAAGGGGTTAACAGCCAGACCGATAAAGTGGGTTTGAGGATTGTTTGTAGGCATGAGGTTGATCAGGTAGTATTATATGTTGTTCTTTTTTTAACTGATAAATAGATTTAAGCAGCATCAACTTTTCCCTTTCGTGTCGAATAAAGACCCGACTGTCTGATGCCAAGTGATTTAGCCTCCCTTCCATCGACCATGTAGCATTAGCCGGAAGTAGCTTTCATGATCAATCAACACGAGCAAAAAGCAGACAGTTAAATAGCGTGTGTGGAATGAGTTGGTTTGCTCAGATAAACATCAGCGACATTCGTTAAGCCAAATGGGTTAAATATTGACTGATAGTGCGGAGGGGAAAAAGGGAGATTTTAATATATTTTTTAGGGGATACTGTTGTGAGATGCTACAGTGGCAATCCTGGTTAGAACTGGAGCATAAATTACAACATGTACTAGAATATATATGAGGAATTTGATTTTCACCCCTCTAGGCAGATTGGACTCTACACAGAGCGCCTTTTAATCCCTCCATTATGCTGCCACTTGGTTAGATCTCAAAGATTTGTCTCAGGGATGACTTCTTCCCTTTGGTAAATAATAACATTAATATAACTTCAAAATGAGCTGAGACCTTTGGTATTGCTAATTTTGGTCTTTGGCAGCCATTATGTCATGAATCTATTCTGTTTCAGTGCATTTCTGCAGATTCCTCAGCTGCCTTTTACTTCTGTTTTTCTTTTTACATATTTCTTTATTTCCGACCTGGAAATAAATATAACAGTATAATCAAAAAACAAGCCTGAACACACTCAAGATGGAGTAAAAATTACATATGTAGCTTAAACGTTTAGAGTAGGTTTCATTATAGAAAATAGAATTATTCACATTGTGGAGTCATAAGTTAGTTAACTGATGGATGGCTTGAACAAAGGCAGTATAATAATAATAAAAAAAAACAAAGTCAACAAGTTAAACAAAAAAAATAGAAACATTAATTTTTCATTTTTAGAGAATTTGGCATAAGAAAATGATATCTGCAGACCTAAATCAACATAAAAAATATTGTTTTTGCAGTGCATTGTTGACTTATAAGTTCACCTTTAAATGAATGCAGCTGAGAACATTGGTAAGATGAAAAAATCTCAACTATTACAACCAAGACCTCTTAATAATTAAACTATTACAGTAAGAAATGGAGAAAAAAAACTGAAAGCTGGCTGCAGATTTGTGCTATTAACCCAGAGAGCTTGTTATGAGGCATCATTTCTTCCTTCCTTTAACACAGACGCTGCACATGCATTCCTCACCCGACCTTACTAAAATACCCTGACCCATTTTTTAAGGGTCTCCTAAGCAGCAGCTATTGGAGAGCAACAAGAAGTAGTAATGACGAGAGCAGGTTAAAGTCAGAGAGCAGAGCGAAAAGGTCAGTTACAGAATGTAAAGAATCATTTCAAATGAAAACCTTCAGATACAGGAACCACCTCAGACAGTGCTATACAGTCCCCTTACTTAGATAAACAGATATTAGATGATCTTTGACTGATTTTCCTCATTATTATTTCCTTCTTAAGAAGCAAACATTTTATAGTTAATGCATGAGCCCTTAAATCCACCCAAAACTATAAACCCAAGAGTAGTAAGAAATGGAGAAGCAGTGCTGAACTGGATCAAAGGCTGATTTATAGGGTAATGCTGCCCCCTAGAGGTTTATTAAGGAAAACACAGTTTACAAGATGAACAGGTGGGAAGAAGGCTTTGATGCTGCTGCTGAGACATGGCAGCGGAGGAATGTTTCCCATTTTAAGGTCTGACCTTAAACACTGACGCCCCAGAGGCCGACCGCCGTCTCCTGCTCACTAATCAGACACAAACCAGAAAGGAAGCTTTTTTATTCGTTTCCTGTGTGAGAAGATGAGGGTCCTGTGGATTTAGCTGGGTGTAAACCTCTGACATGGCAGATGATGTGCGACTGTGAATGTGATGTTTTCTGCAAATGTGACTTGGAGGAGGAGCCTTGAGGTTCAGTCGAATCCCTGCCAGTCACTCTGCTCCGAGTCGTACTCCAGCTCCGTGCCGATGCAGCGGACCCCCTCCAGCAGCATGGGTGTACCGTGGTGACGATCTGGGGGCACAGGTTAAAGATGATGTTAGGAGGCCGCTGAAATGATCACACATGTCTAACAGCGATATCAATAGAGGCAATTAATGAAATTTTATTAATATATAGTGTGTAGCTCCTCCAATGACTCTGTTCTGATAAATATAGGTGCTTCTATATAAAAAAAGAATGAGAATCCCTGCTTTAGATAACATTTTTGGTGTCAATTTTTGGTGAAAGTAAGTCTAATCTTAGTCCATCTGCAGCAGACCCTCTCTAGGCAGAGCCATGTGTGAAAGCCTGCTGGCACTGATGGTGATGTTTTTGTTTTATTTGGCAAAATGTTAATTTGATTAGTGTTTATCTGAATGAACAAAGTCAGAATTTATTATTATCCAGAGATTATTAATAACAGGAGGTGAAAAGCAGCTCCAGACGTGCTGAGCCTGTGGCGATGTCATGAGTATGCTACTGTTCCAATTGACCCAGATTTATGCTTTGTGCTCCTGCTCTCCCATAATCCATACTTTCCTAAGTTCTTCTCAAGAACATTCTTGGTGAGGACACGAGTCCGTACTCAGGTTCTTGTGAATCAAGAAACGGCTCATGATTCATTCCTAAAAGGAAGCCATGTTTGTTTCAAAGGATTCTGATTTGCTGACAAGGCTTAGCTTTGACACTGCCCCCATTGGTGTGGTGTATAAAAAAAAAAACTGACAAAAAAATATAAATATGGAAGCATGTACAAAGAGCTGGCTGAGAGGCTCCGCAGGCAAAATAAGATCCTTTCGCCCCTCGTTTATTATTACCACCCCCCGTTAAACCCCTCCCCCTTCTTCTTTTCCACATTTTCTTTTCTACATTTTTCTGGTCAACGTGTGCCCCCATAGATCCTCCACCAAAGAAGTTTGCTGCAGCAGATGCTGCAAAGCTCTAATATTCAACAGAAAGCTCTCAATCTATGATGACCGAAATCAGATAATCTCCTCTTTGTTTGAGCTTTACTCGTACAGACAAGGAAAACCTGTCCTCCACTGAACCCTGGCATCCAGGGGCTGGCTCCGTATGTGACGTGGGGGATTTCCTCACTGTCATATTCTTATCACCAGTAGAATTCTCCATGCTCACGATTCAGCCACTTGCATATACCTATTTTTAATGTTTAAATAATGTATATAATACATAGATTTAAAAAAAACCAACATTCTTCTGCATACATAGCAGGACCAATGAATAAGGGATAGCATCAGTGCTTGCTCTAATCTATAAAACCAAAATGCTGTAATAATTTAATAACTAAAAATACATCTGAATTATTTTTGTTTATTTATGATAGGATTTTCTCTGTGTGTCTTGAAAACAAGAGTTATTGTCATATTTTGAGACTTTCCTAGAAATCAAAACAAATAAATTTGCTTTTTTCAAGAAATTCTTCTGATACACAGATACCTTCTTTATGGCGGATCTATGGGGAGTTTAAATTATTTTCAACAAGCAAATATTTACAAATCGTAAAAGTTTAGATGAACGGATAAGTAATTACATATTTAATATTATTATATAACATAAAAGTTAAATCTTATATTTTTATAAAAAAACATATATTCTAGACATTAGATCAATGCAGAAAGTAGATGTTTCTTATAAACATGGAAAACCAGCTTCTAATAGAGCTGTTTAGATCCCCATCTATTTAATTTTGAGTTTTGAGAACTAAATTTATCTGGAAGAAATAATAAATACTGGGATAATGCTGCAAATCTGACAATAAGGTGCTGCTTGATAGAAGACCAGAATGAGCAAAAGGAACAGAATGTCAGAAATGCACCTAGAATGAGTTTGGTTACAGCCCTACTAAAAAGAAAACAGACTACGAAAACAAAACGTGGGATATCAGACTGATATAACGCAGCGATTTTACAAATGCTTGAATTAATAACTGATTTCTTCCTTAAATGGTATCGAAACATTCAGGACTTCCCTGAAAATACTGAGGATGTATGGAGTAGTCCATTGTGAAAAACTACAAATCTTCCCAAGATAAAAGATGATTTTCAATTTATTTTCTTGTTATGGGGTGAAGAATATTGGATCATGTTCAAAGAAATACATAAAAACCTTTTAGAATAAATCTTGTCCAAAACTTAGGATTATTAATTACTGAGTCTAATAGTAGAGGAAACATATTTTAAAACATTTTCCACTCCAGCTACATGTACAAGACAATACTGTGATCAGATTTCTACTAAGCTATTTGAGACAATTTACTACAAAAAGTTTCACCTAAATTCTTAGCAGACAAAAACACTCCCACAGATTTAATTACACAGCTCAACAAAATTAATTACTATAAAAAAGGTCCCTCTACACTTATAATTTATAGATCATAATCTCGTGGTCTATAACATACTCAGTTCTGCAACAGGGATCACTTTTTTTTTTCATGTTTTGCATACACTTGATAGAAATTTGGCAAGGAATAGAAAAAACCGTGACATTACATAGAATTATTAAATATATTAATAGTAAACAGTACAGTGGTGGTACAAATATATGCATGAACACAAGCATAACATGCTAAAATGCCATCACAAGTGTAAAAAACATCCCATATTTTAAAGTTTAAGCATCAAGCTTAACTAACATTTTTCCAAATATTTGTTTCCAACAATGCTCATTAGTAAATACAGGTCCTTCTCAAAATATTAGCCTATTGTGATAAAGTTTATTATTTTCCTTAATGTAATGATAAAACTTGAACATTCATATGTTTTAGATTCATTGCACACTGACTGAAATATTTCAGGTCTTTTATTGTCTTAATACGGATGTTCTCTAGCTCTAAACGAGCTATGCACCTAATCACCTGAATCAACAAATTAACTCTAAACACCTGCAAAAGATTTCTGAGGCCTTTAAAACTCTCAGCCTCGTTCATCACTCAAAACCCCAATCATGGGTAAGACTGCCGACCTGACTGCTGTCCAGAAGGCCATCAGTGGCACCCTCAAGCAAGAGGGTGTGACACAGAAAGATATTTCTAAATGAATAATCTGTTCCTAGAGTGTTGTATCAAGGCACCTCAGTGGGAAGTCTGTGGGAAGGAAAAAGTGTGGCAGAAAACGCTGCACAACAAGAAGAGATGACCGGACGCTGAGGAAGATTGATGAGAAGGGCCGATTCCAGACCTTGGGGGACCTGCGGAAGCAGTGGACTGAGTATGGAGTAGAAACATCCAGAGCCAACGTGAACAGGCGTGTGCAGGAAATGGGCTACAGGTGCGGCATTCCCCAGGTCAGGCCACTCTTGAATCAGAAACAGCAGCAGAGGTGCCTGACCTGGGCTGCAGAGAAGCAGCACTGGACTGTTGCTCAGTTTTGCACGTCATTTGGAAATCAAGGTGCCAGAGTCTGGAGGAAGACTGGGGAGAAGGAAATGCCAAAATGCCAGAAGTCCAGTGTCAAGTACCCAGAGTCAGTGATGGTCTGGGGTGAAATGTCAGCTGCTGATGTTGGTCCACTGTGTTTTATCAAGGGCAGGTCAATGCAGCTATCAGGAGATTTTGGAGCACTTCATGCTTCCATCTGCTGAAAAGCTTTATGGAGATGAAGATTTAATTTTTCAGCACAACCTGGCACCTGCTCACAGTTCCAAAACCACTGGTAAATGGTTTACTGACCATGATATCACTGTGCTCAATTGGCCTGCAGACTCTCCTGACCTGAACCCAATAGACAATCTGTGGGATATTGTGAAGAGAAAGTTGAGAGATGCAAGACCCAACACTCTGGATGAGCTAAAGGCCGCTATGGAAGCATCCTGGGCCTCCATAACACCTCAGCAGTGCCATAGGCTGATTGCCTCCATGCCACGCCGCATTGAAGCAGACATTTCTGCAAAAGGATTCCACACAAAGTATTGAGTGCATAACTGTGCATAATTATTTAAAGGTTGACTTTTTTTGTATTAAGGACACTTTTCTTTTATTGGTCAGATGAAATATGCTAATTTTGTGAGATAGGAACTTTGGGTTTTCATGAGCTGAATGCCAAAATCATCCGTATTAAGACAATAAAAGACCTGAAATATTTCAGTTAGCGTGCAATGAATCTAAAATATATGAATGTTCAAGTTTTACCATTACAATTTGGAAAATAATGAACTTTATCACAATTTGCTAATATTTTGTAAAGGACCTGTACAGTGTTTTGTCTTTGCCACAAAATTAGATGAAACAGCGCCAGATCAGGTAGTGGTCAAATAGTGTATTGCATCCATAGTAGTTTAGGACTACCATAGAACATGAATGGGAAACTGTTTAGGTGCTCAGGGTTCAATTCCAGGCCAATACAACTTTGTTTCCTTTTCCGATCCCAACAAATCTGCTGTACACTAGAAAATAACTATATTTCAACACCTTTGACAAGCATTGCAGAAACGCCTCAATTTAGTAGGACTCCTTGTCTTTCATAACAGGCTGTACATAAAATCCCCTGAGATTCCAGCAATCCAAGCTGTAATCTCTATAATAGTAATAAAGGTGCTAACATGCTTTGTGATCTTAATATGATAGAAAATACCAAATGCCTTCATTTAATAAGGTTTAAATATTAGGTGTATCTGATAAAGACAGATGGCTCAGCCTAGAGCAGGATGTAGTATATTCATTATTCAGGATTGTATCTAAGAGCCACAGTGCAGCCAACTACAACAACAACAACTGAGGTGGAGGCACAGCCTAATCCATTGATCTGGTTTGCATCCAAGCTTAAATTACAAGCTGACATCTGGACAGATGTTCAGAATGCTGCACTAAGAGGGTAAAATAGACATGATGAAAAGCAGCACAACAAACATATATTATCCTCAAATATACCACAAGTATTTCATGTATTTACGCAAGTACGTATAATAAAAAAAACTGAAAATAAAGAAACTATGAAATAACAGCTGGTGCACGTATTTTATAATAATATTCTCTATCAGGATGTTACTTAAAAACCTGCCAAATATGTTTTTTATTAACTATGTAAACCTATCACTGTCTCTTTACAATATCATAAAATTATGATAAGCATGATCAAAATAGTAAGATTCTATCTAGGAATTGAATTGAATGTGAACAAAAAAGTCAGTTCACAAAATCTCCAGCAGGGGGCATCAGCACACCAGCTAAATTACAATCCAAGCAAGCCAGAAGCCTCCAGTACAGAGCAAATTTTAGGACATCCTCAGTTCTCAGGAGGAAAAGTTGTCAGTTCTCAGGTATTAGGAAACAATGCTGTCCTTTTTTGTTTGAATTCAGAGAAACTGTGACCAACTGGTCAAATATTAGAGTTTAACTTAGCGACAGTCTCGCCTTTAACTGATTTTGGGTCTTAAAAAGCAAAATATTTATTTTTAACCATCATTTTTGCCCCTGTTGTAAAACCATTTCTGTTTTAATTGACTGAATTACTGTAAACTCCCCACCCACCAATTTCATTATATAATATTGCTTGCCGTACCACATTAATAGCACTTATAACACAAAAATATAACAGTGAATGCATTCATCTTAATTCTTATAGCATCTCTATAGTCTGCTGGATTTGCAGCTAGCTTTAAAGCTACAGTGTGTAAAAATTACAGGGATATACAGTCAGAAATGTAATATATTATACATAACTATGTTATTTATCATTATCTACGAGCTCAGCCTCTTAACCTTAATATTTGCGTTGCCCTAGAATTCGTTATTTATAATTACATAGGAGCGGGTCTCGCAGCCATGGAGGCAGACATCTTTGCACTACGGCAGCGCAGAGCCAACAAACTAGCGATTGCGAGATCTCCCATTACGCTCGAAAGTAACTACGGCAAGTTGAGAGAGATGAACTGAGACGGTACTGAACACACAGACTAATGAAATACTATCTGTAAAATTATCTATGTAAACAAACCTCATCACTTGAGAAGGTAGGTGATGCGGACGTCGTGGAAGACATTTTGTCCCGTAACGCTCGCCGTACTGTTGGGGGGGAGAAGCGGTGGGGGGGAGATGTTCATGTTGCTGCAGTCTGCAGTCTGACCGCTAGATGTCGCTAAAAATTACACACTGTAGCTTTAATGAATAAACTAAATGTAACTGTTTCAGTCCATGATCTCTTCAATACCAGATTCAAATCCGTTCATAACTTTTCAAATAATCCTGCTAACAGATGAATGAACAAGGTGGAAAACATAACCTCCTTAGCACCGGTAATGAAATCCCAGACAAGGACAGACGGCTGCAGCGACACAAATGACCCGACTGCTGTACCTGCTGTCCCTTGGCGTAGTGCGGTACAGCCAAGAAAAGAAAAGAAGCGAATGGGAACACGACCTCCTGCATTATGATAAAGACATAAAGGAAACTAAGCACTTACTCTCTTAAAATTCTGTTAGTTTTAATTACTTTGATTACAGTTAAAGGGTTTTTTTTTTTTTCTTTGCAAGGTCTATCTTTTACTAGTATTGCAGTAAACAAATGTTTTTTAATGCTAGTTTTCATCATTTGTTCAGTTTTGTTAATGAAAATAATCTAATTTAATCTAAATGTCCATAAAAAGCAAGAGAGCAGAGTAGCATGAACTCACGCTAGCGACAAATTGTGTGGCTCATAGTATCGATTTTATATGCATTCAAAACATATGTAAAAAATAGTAAATGTGCGTTTTTTAAATAAAAAAAAAACTGCTCATAGTATTTATTAAGTGTGTGCCCTTTTGGCAGAATTCAGAGTTCATATATAAATAAATAAATATCAGGATTTCCCCATTGTGGGACAAGCAAGGGATTATTTTTATTCTATTTTTTCTATTTTCTAAATACTTTTAAGAAGGACTGCTCTATCTTTTGGTTCTCAAGAAATAAAAAATAAATCTAGCAGTTCTAAGAAATTTGGGAAACTATTTAATCCCAAATCAGTGTTAGATGATTGGCATATAAAGATAAATAAAAGGTAAGTATGATGAAATATGAATTTGTCCTCAGTGTGTTTATTAGGTTAACAGAAAGCATCTAAAAGTTCCATAATAGCAACTCAGTGTTTGATGCTTTTCTACTTTACAAGTCAAGTGCTAAAGAGGGTAATACGTGACTTCTGCAAAACCAGAATTTCCTTCATTACTCAATTCAAAGAGCTCACCCAGCAGCTGAGGTCAGAGTTAGCTGAGCAATACGAGCTCTTCAACGCGGAAAAAATGAGGTCGGCTGTTTTTATCATGCTGTTAAAATAACCTCACCCATGACTCTGGCGTGAACTTTGACCCTGACGCAGACATCGTCGTTGGTTTCGCTCAGCAGCAGCACCTCTTCACACAGGACGCCCTCCTTCAAGGCCAAGTACTCACACGTTACCTTCAGGCCACCTTTAAAAAAAACAAAAAAAAAACAAAGAGTGGTGAGGTTTCCTTTCGTTTCCAAGCTCTGTTACATTCTTTCAATGCTGTTCAGAATAATTCCACCTCAAGCAAACATGACGTCCAACCAGCTCTAAATTAAATAAACACAGCAGCACACCTGCTCAGGTCAGCTGAGAGGTTTTAGACAGTAATATAAAGGGTGTGACAGTGAGCTAAAAGTAAAGGACAGAGACTCTTTAGTTCAGACTGTCATGAGAAAATCACCTTCACATCATTTGGATAATTTAGTCGAAAAATAAGATTCTTCTGAGCTATAAAACAAAACTTTGTGTTATATGGTTAACTTCAACAGAATGTAAAAACTAGAAATTTGAGCTCAGCAATAAGGTTTAAAAATCAAATCTAATTTTCTTTCCTTCAAACTCCGATTAATCAATTGGTTTCCTCATTCAAGAACATACATTTCTTTCAAAAATTATCCTTTTTTGTTCAATCATCAGCTCAGGGAGGTGACCTTAATGTAAAGAGCAATAAAATTCAAGCTGTGAAAGATGCAAGAAAATAATCATGTTTCACACCAATAAAAATAGAATAAACTAAATGTTTACAGCTAGTGGCACCACACAGAGAGCTTGGTATTACTTATGAGGAAATTGCGAAATAAAACCGATAAAGCTCAAATTTTTCCACTTCAGAAATTCTGAATGGACCTTACTGACAGACATTTTTTTTTTTTTAATCTTGTATGAAAAATGTTTATACATTTGTTTTTAAAATCTTGGTATCATTGCTGCTCTAGGTGGGTCTCTACACTCAAGTTAACGATTAATCCGATTAATTGTTTCAGCCCTAAAAAAGTGATGAACTGATGTGACTTTAAGCTATGGAAGCCCAAAGAGAGAAAACAAATCTTCACAAAAATTTCCAATATTTGAATTTCTCAATTAATCAGCCAGCCCTTATAAACATAGACATCAGGCAGCAGATGTATTTGGCTGATATTTGCATATTTTTCTCAGGATCATGTAAGCCACATGCATGGCCATTCATCCAGTGCAAAGTTGTTTTTTTTTTGTTTACATTAAAGTTGCATAACAGCTATTATAGTTGTGTCATTTTTAAATGTTTAAATGGAGGAAGACAGAAAAAATCTGCATAAAAAATCTGCCAAAATAAAAATAGGCAGCACATATCTTGTATTGGTTAGACCTAATATGTTAAAGTCTAGGCCCGCGGACCGGCTCCAGCCCCGGATGGAGGCAGGGGCGGATCTTATCCTGCAGGTCATAATGACGGCCCTGCTGCCGAGCGACGGGCAGGTGGGATCCGTATTAAACTCTGATCAAGACGGAGCATAACTGACAGGCGCGGACCTCTGCCCTGACTGTGCCTCTGCCGTATGAAACAACATGGATTTTCAATATAAAACGCTGATAATACTAAGGCAAAGAAGAAAAAAAACAAAAGCGTACAATTACGCATTTTTAGTGTTTCTATTAATTAAGAAATGTGAATAAAATCCCATGACTAAGTATGCTAACATGATAACTCCTCCTACTACCACTTCCTGTCTGTTGTCTGCCATTAATACCATCTGGCTGTTGATCACATGACTCATGCCATGCGACAAAGGAGATTCCAATTCCAATACGGCTAAAAAAGAAATATATATATATAAATATCTTTATTAAATTGTAACATTTCCATCACAGTTAGCGAATTAATTTGCATGATTACAGTATGTGCCATCTGATCAAAATGGAAATGCAGCTACTGATATGCAAATGTTAACTGTATGGGTAATAACATGCAAATAAAGAATGCACTTCCTTTGAATCTAGGTATAAGAAAGGTACAACAATGTTTCTCTTGACTAAAAGTGACATTAATGTTCTAGAACAGGGGTTCACACAGTATGGGTCGGGACCACCTGGTTTCAAATAGTACACTTAATCAACCCGTACATTAGACAATGTACAATAGTCAGTAGGCAAACATTGTGACGTATTTCTGTGGATTGAGCCTAGCTGGAGGCACAAAGATTGCTGCAGAGCACTTTAACAATGGTATAAAGCAAGAAAACACCTGTAGAAAATATATTAACTGAATATGTATCCTGAGGTTATTTACTTTCTGGGGCTGGGATATTTACTTAAAGAAGTTAACTTTCACGGACTTAACCAGATCGGCCGGCCTGTAAACACCCACTTAATGGACGGACAATCTGACAGGACTGGCTGTAGATGAGTTGAGTGACATCTACACCTAGCATACTGAAAAAGCAAAGGGTGATCCATAGTTCTACTGTGCCAATGCCAGAAAAGGTTTCCATTTACCCATAAAACTTGGGTAAACAGAAGAAACAGCCATATCTTGATGACAAACTACACTTGCACAGCTGGGTGAGTAACATGACCAAAACATAATCCATAATAGCTTATGCCTTATACCTTCATTTACCTGCTAAGAAGTGTGCGCTGCATACATGAGCATGTCTGATGATAGTTTCTGTGTATTGTGTTTTTCCACAGCCACCATAGTTTTTTTTTTTCCCTCAGTGGCACGGGTTTTGCATAAAACTTCAAACTGTCTTTATTCTGTTGATTCTGGCACCAAAAACAACCCAATAAGCTAATTTAAGTGTAGCTGACAATGTGCTAGATTGTATTGTCTGCCTCCAGTTGTCAAATTTGATTTACCTTCAGCTAACAGACTGATGTAGACAGAAAAGGGGTCTATTAAATAATTACATTTCCTTTTAGTAGGGCTGACAGACAGACAGAGTGAGTGAAATATGTTGTTTCTTCATTGATCACCAGTCTATGGAACTTTATTTTTTGGGGTCACAGGCTAAAATGTTTGGAAACCCCTGTTCTAGGGAACCCATGACAGAGTCCGGACTAAAATCTTGCTGGAGGGACCTAAAGGTTAGAAGGATAGCAAATAACCCTGAGAGCTCACGATGAAAATTAATCGAGGGCAAACTGAGGCTTTCATTGCCATTAAAGGTCTATGTTGGTTTTCCTTTGGGAAATGCCTCTCTTTTTCTGTCACGAGCAAACTTCCTGGTTAGATGAGTTTAAAATTAAAGCTGCACGGAGTATGAATAATCTTGCACAGGTAAGAAACACAGGAATTCTTTAGGGCTGCTGCAATGAACCTGAACCCTTGTTTTGTCATATCAGAATAGAAAGTGATTTCAGGGGTGGTAAAATCGCTTTCTATTCTGCTTTCTATGACACAACCCTGACGAGAATTCTGTAGGATACATCCAGAGGGCTTCACAAGTCTCTGTGGCGCAATCGGTTAGCGCGTTCGGCTGTTAACCGAAAGGTTGGTGGTTCGAGCCCACCCAGGGACGGTAATCTCTTTAGCTCCAAACTGCTAAGGAATAAATAATTAAGCTATAAAACAAAAATACATTATCTTAACATCAAAAGCAATACTAAATTAAAAGGATTTTGTTAAACACTACTTACTCAAGGCATAATTTCTAGTCAAGTCTAAACTTTTGCTGTTTATTGACATATTTCATCCATAAAATGATTTAAATCAAAAGAAGTATGCATAGTAACTGCTGTACCCTTCTGTATTCTCCTTGCCCACCCATTACCTGCACTAATTAACCACCTTATTGTCATCATCTGCAGCGTGTTGAACAGCAGCTGAGTGCTCACATCCTGACCCACAGGCTCGGGTGAGTGTTTAAATAAAGCTGCAGCACACAACTCGCTGCCCAGAGCCTGTTAAACTGTAACCTGATCCAATGCTGGCCTCACGCAGGCCTTTCCCGCTTTAGCCAGATCCCTAATCAGCTGCAGCACCTACTGTAAAACATCATAAAAAATAGTTACATTTAATCCAATATCCACCCTTATGGTGATATTGATCTGACTTAGATGGTTTTAATGGTTTTAGCCGATCATCTTCAGCCCAAAGTAATAATTTAGTTAAACAGTTAGGATGGCTAATGTTCTGTAAGGTGTCTGAGCGTAGAGCTTTACTTTAAAGGTTAGAAACCTTAGCTTCTGTTTTTCTGCAGGGTGACTGATGCATCTTACCCTCAGGCGCTGCTGAGATGTTGGTGATTTTAAGGTGTGGGTTGGGCAATGGAGCTGGAACCACATCTTTACCCAGAGCAGGGACCTCCGGCAGGGTGAACACTATCTCATAACGATGCTGCGTCTTCAGGAAGCCAACCTACCAACAGAATGGGATTTTTTTTTAAACACCTTAAAACCACAAAACCCAACCAAATAATGAACACTTAGTTTAAAATAACATGTCCAGCTTTATTATTCCATACACCATGCAGAACGCACAGTGGAACAGCCCCACAGCATGACGCTCCCACCATCGTGCTCAATGGTGGCTGCAATTTAACATGTTAGACAAGATGTTTGTTCCACGTTTTACAGCTGTAACGGTTCCTGGGTTGACCTTGATCATTGTGGACCAATTTTCTCCCTTCTGAGAGTCAAAACTCTGGATCAAATTGTTGAAACTTTGACATGAATGGGTGTTACAACAGGACAAAGAACCAAACCAGACACTAAAACTGGTTTTAGATTGGATATAACAGGATAAAGTTAGCCCCACCCTTGTGGAACTAAGTGAAGTTACTAGTTGTATAAGAAATGCACACAATCAGAAACCTAAACCTAAATCACAATCATACTGGAAGTGAATAGGAGTAATCTTCTGACAAGCAATGAAATAAAATGATGTAATATAGAGGCCTGGCCACATAATGTAAAACTGGTTATGGCTTCATAAAAGAAGAGCTAAGATAAGTAAAGAGCTGACACAGTTTTCATGCTATGTTGACTGTTTTGCGTTACTCTGGTCTTTAAAAACACAAGACTGGTTGCAAGTATCATGTCAACAGTAATCTAATTATCTGACAGATCAGCGCTGAGGGTTAGCTTAAAGGTACTGCACAGAAAAGCATACTGACATATCCATTCAATACAGAAATTTACAAAGTTGAGTAAGATGCTATTTTACTATTTTACTTTTTATATTTTTTATCCATATTTTTATCCTAAGTGTATATATTAGTCTATTTTTTTTGCATGCCTTATATCCACAGTGTTTTAGATATTTTTATAGTTTTATTTACCTATTATATATATTATATGTTTCATGTTGCACGATTGTACCATAAAAAATTCCTAGTTTGTGAACTCCTTCACTAACAATGGCAATAAACCTGATTCTGATTCTGATTTTTAAATAAGTAAAATAAAGAAGATGGAACTAAGCTTCCCGAGGGTTGGATTCTCTCACACTTTAAATCATGAAAGACTTATAAGTGTGTACTCTGCATGTGTTAACAGGAGAACATGTGGTGGGAAAGGGTTAGAAAGAGAAGTAGAAGGTGATTTTCAGAGGAGCTGAGAAGATGTCACATCCAAATATTCAGCAAAGGGAAAAAATCATGAGGAGGAATCAGCCCAGCCAAGGAGGGTAGGAATCCACCAACTAGACAGGCTGCGAGGAGAGACAGAAAGAGGACAACAGCAGCAGACTTCAGGGAAAGATGGATCAAATGTAAAGGCCTCCAGCTAGAGCAGGAGGGCTCAAAAGCCCCTGGTTACAGCGATGAACAGAGCAGCATAAACGAGGGGGATGCTCTTGGAGACCTGCCCTGAAAAACAATCATTCTAGAGACAGAGACTCTAAACCGTCTGGGAACATTTGATCTCATAAACCGTTTTGCTGAAACATTAAAAAGATTAAACCCTCATCAAATGCTAAGTAACTTCAAAAAGGAACAATTTCTCTCAGTATCTTCTATATTTTATCTTTAGAATCTAAAGTAAAGAAAAAACAATTCTGCCAATCACCACAAAACTATATAAACATTCTGTACTGATAAAGGTTTTCACAGGCACTGAACCTTTGTTTTTGCCTTTGAGATGCAGAGAGAGCTGCTATATAAAAAAGGTTTTGATCAAAGGTTATTCATCTGTTACAATGACTCAGTTCAGCCGTCTGCAAACTCTGGCTCTAGAGCCACAAAAGACTGTTTGGATCTTCCACAAAGGCTCTGAATAATCAGATAAAGACTCAACTGATGAGTTGAAATATATAAATAATAGCAAATAGAGAGTTAGCACAGAATAAACAATGTAATAGGACTGTAGGTGAAAATATTGTATTTTTTACTATTGAAGGTACAGGAGAATGTTGAATCTTGGCGTTCAGGGCAACAATTTTTGATGACTAGTCTTAACAAAAAAATTAAAATGAAAGGTAGCACAATAAGCCGTGTGACAGAAGTAAATAAAGGTAAAACCTAATAATGAACAACTATTCAGATAATTTTTATTACTTTTATCGTCAAGCAGATGTTAAAGATCCATCAGGATTCATTGTTTTGATCGATTTCAAAAAGCTGGAGAAGAGCCAGTGTTGATCATAAAGTCAAATTTTCTTTCTACAACATTAAGGACAATTTCATATAGTTTGGATCCTGATATTTTACTCCATTCTCATTAAGGGAATCCTTAGAGAACTCCATCAGTTGTACTATGGTCACAGGTAAGTGTAAAAGATTAGGACATTATTATTCTCCTAATATATTCTCCTCCAGTAAGAGATTTAAGTGGAAAAAAAAAACAATCCCGTTTTTAATCTTAGCTTTAACTTCATCCAAGATTTGCGCAATAACAAGGAAACACTGAAATAAGCCAAAAAACAACCGCTCTATATCATCTGATTAAATTATAACCAGCTGTTCATTGGAAACAACGTGCTGAGAATTAGCCGCCTCGTCAGCTGACAGCTGTCGAAGCGAGGAAAGCTCTGATTAACATCTGAAAAGTTCATTTTATGACACATAATTTTGAATTCAATAACATTTGACACAGCGTTCCACAATGGCTGTGTTATTGTTGCTCAATCTGCAGGTTTACTAGTAGTTCCTCGACTTTCTAAAAGTTAAATGGTAGATAGATCTTTTAGTTATCGGGCTTCTCTCATGTGGAACCAGCTACTAGTTTTAGCCCATCAGGCAGACACCCTGTTTACTTTTAAGACTAGGCGTAAAACTTTCCTTATCCTAACGCTTACAGTTAGATTGGCTCAGGTTATCCTGAGCTATCTCTATAGTAATGCTGCTATAGGCTTAGACTGATGGAGGATATAGGGACCCCTTTTTCATCATTCTGCTTCATTCTATCTCTATTCTCCCACTCTGCAGTATTTCTTAGTTCAATCTCTAATGCTTTGCTCTCGGTTTTTTCTCATAGTAGCTTAATTTGTTGTGTTCCTGTTTGGCTGTGACACCATCCTGGAGAGAAAAATCAGCTGTGCTTCTGCCATCAACACCTTTGTTTATAGATGATAAAGTCAGTCTCCTTTCTCAGTGTTTAGTTACATTTCTCTCCTAGACACAGCTATAGGCTCAGCTTTTACTGTCACTAACTATGTGCTTGCTTTCATCCCTTTTGACATGAAAACTGGCTCAGAGCTCCTCTTTTTAACCATTTCTCTCCTAGACAGAGCTGCCTGTAGAGCTAGCTTGTTGTTAGCTTTTCTAACATAGATAGTATTTATAGATCAGTGCTTCTATGTACATTTAGTATGTCTATTTCTCTCACCATTATACAGCTAATTATGGAAAGTTTAAGAGAATAAGCATTTTTTTGGAGCGGAGGAGTGGTAGTTAAACATACATGCTGTAAATGTTATCAACAGGACTTCTGCCAAACATCTATGTCTAAACGAGCCCTGCTGCAGTCCCATTAAAGGACCGGAGCACAGAAATTGGGTCACAAAACCAGGCTTCAACTCATTTGCTCAAAGGGATCTGACACTATTAACAGCACCATCTAAACCTTTACAGTTTTTTTTTTTTTTTTACATTTGTAGACAAGCTGAATGTCTTGATTTCTCAGGATTTGAGCCAAGTTTCAATATCATTGTTTATAAAGGCATGGTTTACAAAGAACTGGATTAACCAGAGTTTGTTTCTCATATAAACTCAAATAGGTAGAGCTAATCAAAGAATGGGAGGTAAAAAAAAAATCTCCTCCTTCACCCAGTTCCCTTGGGTTGTGGTTCTTTTGCTTATAGATCCAGTTTTAACTGGCGGATGAAAATAACATGTTTTTCTATGAGTGAAATATGCGCGACTAAACAATAAAGGCTGGATTTGACATGGAGGAGTGAAGTGATGAAACAGCACATTGAGCTGAGGCCGTTTCTCTCAAACTCTGTGAGGTTTTCCTTAATGTCACAAATGAAAGCAGTAATGCACCAGGGACAAAATAATTTCAACCGGTGCATTATTTGCAGTCCATAGTCAAATTTTGTTTTTTAAACTTCAGCGATATCTGCATGTTTTAATTATAAACCTATATGACCAGGAATTGGCACGCAATGTAACAAAAAACATTAGCAGCATCAGAGCAAATGTCTGGAAGAAGCTTAAGAAGCTGGTAAAGAAGGCTGGCCCTAATTTAACAAAGAAGCATTCTTCTTTAAATAAAATGACCAACTATGAGTGTACTCAGTCAGGAGGATCTTCAGTCAGAGGCTTCTCTAGAACAGCTGTGAGACAGACCACTACAGGAGACCCTTCCTGCCTGCAGCTTTTAACATCTACAACTTCTCAAATAATAATTACAAAAATAATTACAAAATTTTATTTCCCTTCAAAATAAATCAAGTATTTTTAATGAATTTGTTTAATTGTATAAGAGAATTTATAAGATTGTATTTAAAACAAACATTTAAAGTTTCTGCTGGTGAAATTCCTATTAGATTAATGTGAAATAGATCGATAAAAAGCTGTACTGGTAGGTAAGAGGCGTTATGCAAAAAAAAAAAATATTATATATTTTATAGTTAATTATTATCAATTAACAAAAACCATCAGCTCCCTCTTTGACACAATTAAGCCCGCTTCTTAAAATCTCATTTAATGACCTTATCTGAGCAGAGTGGTTAGAGAGCAGGGGGAATGAGAGGACTCAAGATCACTGGGTCAAATCTCTGTCACTGTCACTCTGGGTCACTGTGGAAGACCCTTTACCTTAGAGTGGTCCTTGTGTGCTACTCCCTAAGTGTTGGCTTTAATGCAGCTGACAGATCTCCCCACTGTGGGACTATAAATGGATCTGTCTTTCATGTTTCTTGAAACATGAGGGCTGTGTGAAACTCAACATCCTTTAAAGGGAACATCTCCAAAC